AGATGGAAGATCACGTTCAGAACTCTCCAAACAAGGTTGTTTTGATCAAGGTGTCCCATCTCCATACCTGTAGCAGGGATAGGCTCCCTCCACGTTGAGCACCCTGAAGTATCTGTGTTTGCCTCGCAGCCGAGAGTGTCTGTGCTGTTTGTACTCACAGCAGCAGCTCAGCCTGTCAGCTTGCATCCCGTTGACAAAGAAGGTGAGGCTGAACGGGAAACCGTGGTGCCTCTTGGAGGTGAACTGGAATGTATCTGCAATCACAGAAAAAAAAAGGTTCAAAGAACAATTTTATGCTTCAGTGTCAGCCTGTTTCCATTGCTGTGTCTCACCTGCAGCACTGCAGCACCTCTGTGGGTATGCACTGCTGATCTCAGCTCTGTTCAACAGTTTGTCAAATTCTACCCCCACACACACACAGAGCCCTGGCTCTTGCTGCCCCACAATCCTGAGCTGGGACAGTTGGGACAAGTGTCACTCTGTCAGTTTGGCCCCTCACTGCTACAGCACAACAAAAACGAGAGCCTCTCAGCCACGTCCTGTGTCCATCTCCCAGAACACAATTCATCCTTTACTGCTGTGATGGAATTGCAATCAGATTAAAGGAGATGGGAGCTGGGCTCTCACTGTGTACTTTTCCTTCAGGAATAAGAATCACCATTCACTGATGTATTTTACAACTCAGATAACCCCCTTTTAAGGACAGTTTATTGCTACAACTACTCTATTAACCACGGATCTCTACAGAAAATTAACTTAACCCATAAGTATTTTGTTAAAACAATTATCTGAATTTCTTCTACCATCATTGCAAAAGTAATTGTAACCTCCCTTTCAATCATGGAACAGTAGATACAGATTAAATGTGGAGGCAGATGGTATAAAGATCCCAGGATGCATGTATTTCACTGAGCTAAACTGAAATAATTTTGATGTCATGGCAAAGTTTTAACCAAACAATATGTTGTCAGAATCCATATGAACTGTCTGACTCTCTCCTTACCTCCTTCAAACAGCTTTCCTTTATAGACACAGAGGTTTTCTCCTCCACAGTGCTGCTGATAGATTTGGATGTCATCCCAGTAGTCATTGAGAGGCACATGCCCACTCTTGCCAATGTAGACCATGGTGACCACGGCGTTGCTGCACAGCGGGGACTTGGGGAACCCTCCAGTGTGCTGCAGACAAAATGCACAGAAATGCCTTCAGCTTCCAGCTCCAGAGAGGGTGGAAACAAAGTTCACATCCACGCAGCACACACTTGAAACCTCCAGGCTTTTATGACAAGTGCTGAGCTGATTAAATTGGGAAGTATTTGTAACATGCACAAAGGGTCTGGGGAATATTTCCAACTGAAAGCCTATTGCAYTGAATAGCCTCGAATTGCAGAGAGCAGATTTAATGACTCATCCCTCCCAGCCCTGGGYTCCTACAATTTTATTTACAGGAGTWAAACTGTCTGCAGACAGTGTAATTAATGCAGTGTTCATACACTCGAGGCATTGCACAAATCCCYGAGATTGCAGTGCCAGCTGTAGCCAGAGACAAGACCAGACTGACTGAAGTGGAAGGTTGAACTTTGAGTAACAGCTCCTATAGGTTGTCGTTCAGCACCTTTTTTCTCCACAACTGATAAAAATCACCAAATGTTTTGGTTTACAGACATACACAGCAATTACTTACTTTAACAGTAATACATTTTCTTGATGCAAACTAGGTACCCACATCTTTCAGCATTAAGCAAACCCACCCATGAGGAAGATAATACACCTGTAGGTAGACAGAGAGTACTCACCTTGATGAGAACTTGCTCGTTGAATGCAGTGATGGGAGCAAAGCGTCTCCGTGTGGGCTGTCCCCCCCTGACTGCAGCCACACGCCTGTCCCCTCCCTGCAGCCGGGGTGGTGGCACTGGCACCACGCTCGGGGGCACGGCAGGGAGCTGCTGAGGTGA